AACATTGCAGAACAAAGTAGATTAGTAATGTTACCTGGTTTAACCAAAATATTGAGACATTGATATTGAATTGTTTTTTTTTTTCTTAAAATTATTTTTTTCACTCCATTGTTCTAGAAAGTGACAAGAGAAAATGAGCAATGACTGTCGGGCTTCCGATTGTCCCCTCCAGTGTTTCTCAGTCAGGTAGAGGGGGAGTAGTAAGCCGTTAGTCAGTGGTCTGATGAGCACTTGGCCAAGAATGACAGCTCAATAGTATTTCAGGGTGATGGCGATTCTTTCTGGCATTTGAAAGCTAGATGTTTTATTCCTTGAGATAAAAGATTAAACCAATGTATATTGGGACAAAATTAGAGAAAGCTTTATTAAATGAAAATTTCAAAATATGAAGCTATTGTTTTCAATGTACTCTCCATCTAAGTTGCTATAATTCTGAAAGCAATATATCCATCTCCACAGCTCTTCCCTAAAACATTATTACACTTACACCATCTCAAAATGACAATGTGGGATCTTCATAGGACAGTCCTTGCCACCATCCAAGAATGAGCACTGTATTGCCCTGACTGGGGAGGGGAAGGGAGAGGAGGAGGAAAGGAGTGGGAGGGGAGCTTGTGCAAGTAGCCTGGACTTTTTTCATCAGTTTAATTTACAATTTTCTCAAAACCTCTTCCTGCTAAGGTTCTGGTATAACCCTGTATCCCTCAAAAATGTCTATTCAGATTACCCCTCTGGGAACCCAAACAGCAGTCAGGATGGTTATCTCACCGGACCGCTCTGTTTTAAATTCAACAGAAAAAAGTTCTCCTAAAAGCCACTGTCGGACAGAACCTGCAGAGGCAGTGAATTATTTTACGTGGCTCCTCTAGTAAAAGTCTCTCACTATTTCCAAACAATCTTTCCCTGTGTGAGTCTTGTGGAAAGGTGGGAGAATGCAGTGATAAGATTCACCTGAGAGTGATTGTGAACAGAAGGCAGTGGAATATCATCTTGCTGCATGTAAAATGAGCCCTTTGAGAAGCAGAAAGGGAATTTCACTACTAGGAAGAGCCAGGAGTGGAATGCATCCCTGTGCAGTCAACCTCCTGGATCCAAATGACAGCTGTGATGTCAGAGGAACTGCAGAAAAACCAGGGCCCAGAGCACGAAACAGAATAGTGGACTTCCAAGCCCAAGTAAAGCTGAGTTTGGGGACAGCAGTCTGGCTTGTGGAGTGGCATGGCTCTGCACACTTAGTTTGAGGAGCTGGGCTGGAAGACCCACCGAGGTAGATATGAGTGCCTTTGAGTTGAGGCTTGTGGTAGAGTGTTACGTCCTTTGCACATTAATTAGTAGACCTGAAAGAACTTTGTAGCATGTCTTAAAGAATTACTCTATCCTGAGCATTTCTCAATTGTGTTACAACATTTAAACTTTCTTAATAAACCCTTAATTGTGAATTTTGTTTATGAGTTGTGTTCACTCACTGCAATGAATATCAGAACCTAGCGGTAAAATAGAGAAGACTATTGAACACAAGACCTTCTTTTTGAAGGCACCCAACTGAAGTTGTCTGCAGCCATCCAATAAGTGCATACATATTTAAACCTGTTATATTTGAAATAAACCTGTGCAGGTAGGGATTATATCCCTAGCAGCACTACTTTTTAACTTACCCTGGGCTAGCAGTGTGGATTGTACCTGATTAACTCCTGAGACTCAGGTTCAAGCATCCATGTAGATCTTCCATTGAGAGAGGGGGGTCTCTGGCTACATTGATCCCATTTTATATTTTTGTTACCAGCAACTGGAGAAATCTTGGAAGAGGGACTTTTAATGAGTGCTGTTTGATCCTATGTTAACTAAGAAGTTTAAGTAGATCCTACATTAAATACCTTTAATTATTACTACCCTGGTTAATATCCCATGTGAATGCACTCAGAAAATATAGGCTGAGTGATGTAGTACCGTATTGTTCGATTGCTAACTCTAACGTAGGATAAGGCATTGGCCATGAGCAAAACCGGGACACAGCTCATTCATTAAAGGGGTTGAAGGGCATGAGCTCATGCATCAAAGGAAATGCCATTAGGAAAATGTTTTCTTTAATAAATCTTGTCCATACTTACCTGGCAGGGGAGGCACTGTGAGTCACAAAGGTGGTTTGCCCAGGGCAAGGTTTATCCATTGCACTCCGATGTGCTAACCTCTGCAATTTCTCAAAATGTGGAAAACCCAGCTGCACAATTTGTGGTTGTGGGGAACTGTGTCCAAAATTTCCCCTGCATTTGGAAGAAAAAAAATCTTGTCCAAAAGGAAAGGGCAGCCATGATCCAGCATATATGTCACGTGGCTCTGTGAGATCAAATGCACTGACAACTCAAAGAAATATGAAACCCTGACTATATGAAAGGAGGCAAGGCCATCTTGGATATTTTTCCCCACTGTCCTTCCAGATCTATGAATAAAATATATGCTAATTCTCACCCTGCCTCTGTGATTGGCTTGCAATGGATGGTGTCTGAACTCTTAAGTCTGGTTTTGCTATCCTGCATTTGAGAGCCTGGTTTAAGGCTTTACAACAGTTAGATTCTTCTTCACAGATATTGCCAACCTTTTTTAGAATATAAAAGACAAATAATATTACAGGTGTTGTAGGACCTAGAGTTTCTGTCACAAATAAAAACTCATCTCATTGCAGCCTGAAAGCAGGTACATACAATAAGAAAACAAGCATTGTTAGGTTGAAATAAAACTTAATTTACAAAAAAGCAGGCAAGAAACTCTAATTGTCTGTGGGATGGTTTTAGCTGATCCTTGAACAACTTTATATGATTTTTGCACAAATATTTATACTACCACCTAGAATTTCTGAGTAAACTGTGAAGCCACTAACTTCCCGGCCTTTATTAAGAGTCCTTATAGCCACGGATGTGCTCTGAGAAACCACTGGAATAAAGGCCATGAAAGTACAGCCTGAGCACTTGTTCATTTCATCATTAACATAGAGCTTCTTCACCGTGCCATACGTAAGACGAAAGAACAGGTTGGAAAAGGAGTAAAAGGATCGGGTTTTGAAGCAGTTCATCTTGGGAACTGTTTCTGAATATCCCTTACTAGTGAGGTAAGTTTTTGGTTTGTATGTTTTAATTTCTTTAACATCTAGCTAATGGCACTTCCTTTGACACACATTAAATTTATTTTTGTTTTAATTTCCTCATCTGTAAAACAAGAATGATATATATTCAAATATATTCAAGAATGATGATAAAAATATAAGTAGCATATATTTGAACTAAGGCCATGAATCCATTTTCTTTTTAGAATTGTAAGGAACTAATAGTCAAGGAAGATTATGGAAATTAAAAGGCCAGACAACAATTTTAATTTCTATTTGGGCCTCCCAAAGGACTTTTAAGAAAATCCAGTAAACAATATTCAGCAATTCTTCTTAATAATCCTTTTCTTTCCTCTCTAAATTGCTTAATTCTCACAATTGCTACATAACCTTCCCCATAATAAATCCCCCAAACTCTATCAGATGGTACTGCCACCCCCTCTCTTTCCTAACTCTTCATTATAGAGTAATTTAATTATTTTTT